GAAGGGGATGCTGTGGAGGACAGGTGTAGGTGTGGGCTCACAGGGCGCTTCCACTTCCAAGTCAACTAGAGCAACGCGATCCTTACGGGATCACTAGCCCCTACCGAGGGACAGGGTGACCCTTCCCACAGATAACAGAGCTGGGTCCATCCTCTCTCGTGGAGCCTAACCGCACTGCTGCAGCGCTTTGCTTTCAAATATGTGTCCTTCCCTCCTCGCCTGTGAACCCCTTGAGAGCAGAGACCACCTGTTGGCATAGAGCCTGGCATTTGGTTACCATCTGATAAATGGTTTTGAAATGAATAAGTGGACTTTAAGCAAAAAGGATCCGGAAACCACATTAATATTATGTATTAACAGAATAGGAACTTTCTGGCTAAATGATCCTATAGTTACTGACTCTATTGACAAGTAATTTGGAGCCCTTACAGAGTCACATGAAGACATTTTTGATGTGGGTTTTGTTCTTAGTCAGTTAGAAGGAGAGATTAGGTCATCTGAAAGGCTTTCTTTCAGGTTTCGTCTGTGAACCTGAACACTGAATGATTAATGGAATTATATTTGGAAACTGCCACTTCAATGATTTATAAAAATCGAATGATTTAATATCAGGTTAACCATGGAGATAATGGAGGCACAGAGGAGATTGTATCTGAATAAGAGATTCTGACAGGGTCAGTGACAAATCCAGCTGCTTCCAAGTCCTCCCACATTCAGAGGTTTCTGCTTGGATTCTATTAGGAAAGTGAGTGGGAATGATAGAGAAGTACGCTTAAACTCTATTGCTTGAAGGACCCTCGTAAGGAGAGTTTCACACCTCTTGCCACTTTCCATGGACATAATGATTTGGGAATAAGTGTTTTGACAATGTGAATTTCAATCTAGAATGCTACCGCATTGGAGGGAAAGTTCTTCACCTCCACATTTGGGTAGAGACTTGCTGTGGGAACTTGGCCATGAGACACCTGGAAATTTCTTTCATCAACAAACATTTATCAAGATTTGAAGATCATGAGCTCTTACCACCTGAAATTAATTATGAAAAGGCATGTTTACAGGTGGGTGTACTCATGGTAGCAATATGGAGCACAGAAACTGGAGTCAGAATGTCTGAGTTTAAATCTTGCTTTGTGACTTGAGGCTACTCAAATCTTCCGAGGCTCAGCTGACTCACACCCAGAACGGACTCCATCATCCTCTTCACTGGGCTCTTGAGAAGACTGCCTTCTATAACGTACAGGATGCATCTAGCAGTAGGCTGGCAACTTGTCAAGCACTCAGAAAATATTAGTTGCCTTTCTTCCTTTTTGAGTGATAATTTGTTTACTGGGAAGAAAACAAAATGCAATACCTAGTACTCAAGGAATTTACAATATAGTTGCCAAGGCAAAGGTCATACCTACAAAAGATATATAGCTACACATACCTGGGTAAGATAAATATCTAGCTGATGGTATGATCTGTAGTGCTATGAGTGTGAAAAGAAAGTGACAGTCACAGGAGGACGTAACAAGGGAAGGCTTCCTGGAAGAGGCAGAATTTGAGCCAGAGCTTTGAGAATGGTGGGTTGAGATGGACAGAGGAGTGGGTAGAGCCGGCCAATCCAGACAGAAATAAGAGAAGTAAATAGTAAAAATGTACAGGGTAAATTCTGGGAATATGCACAGACTGGTATTGCTGGAAAAGTTTATTGACATAACTAAACATAAGGCTTTTGGTAAATGGTAATAGGACTTTAAAAGCTGGGCTAGAAAACTGCCTTTATCTGGTAGCTAATGGAAAGCTGGTAAAGGTCTCTGAGCAGGAGAGAGCATGGGCAAATAATATCATCTAGAAAGCCCGTGAGTCTACACCATTCACTCTAGTGTTATGAGCCATGCTGCTGTGAAAAAGTCCCTTTCATTACGCAAATACTCAGTAAATCACTGAAGACCCACTGCAGAACTCCAAGGAAAACATTTTATGAATCAAAAGCTGAGTACAATATGTTAGCAATTAAATGAGATAACATAATAGCCGATGCAGAACCATGGCTTTTCCCCACCACGATTTCAAGCTGCTGCAGAAAGAAATGCTTATATCATCTTCCAAGTTATCGAGCCATTTCGTTTTTATTTTCGGAAGGCAGGGAGAGGAAACGAGAAGAGCGGGGAGGTCAAGAGGATTCAAAGCTGTCTATTCTTTAATCAGAAGGCATTATTAAGGAGAGCCAGAAAGGAGATTTGCTCAAAACCAAACCTGCCCCGGGATGGTGTTAAGTTACTGCCACTTGCTCCCACTGCAGAGCAACAAATGAAGGTGTGCAGTTGGGAAGGAAAGTCCCCCAGGCCGCTGCGGAGGTTTCCGGTGCATACCTCCCACTGCTACTTTATTTACTGCAGCTGGCCAGCGTTTATAGCCTGTTTCATGTATTAAAATTCAAATGTGGAAAACATTACCAGGATCCTCCTTGAATTTTTTTGTTGTTGTTGAGGGGGATGGGTTTTTTTTCTCTCTTCCCCTTCAACTTCCTTTTTATTGTGGAATGCATCAAATGGTCAAAGGCTAACTTCAGACTGACTAAATGCAAAAACTATTTCCTTTGTTCTTAGGTTTTTGTTTGAAAAATTATACCAGTTTGCACAAGAAAATGACAATGCAATCTCGTCCACACACATGATGGAGTTTCAGGTGGAAGGGCCCGGATTCTGGGGGCCGCTAACTATCTTTGAGGAGAAAGACCACACAGCCCCACTTGGTTTAAAGGACAGCAGGTTGTGGCCATGTCATGTCTCTGGAGTTGCGCTCCTGTCTGGGGGTCTGTGGTTGTCCTTGATGGGATTCTAACTGTCTTCAGAGGAGCGGGCAAGAACTTTTCCTCATCAGCAAAATTAGGCGCTGTATGGCTTCTGCACAGTTTTTCAAAGTGAAAGACACTCCTGTGTTAACAGGGGCTGATTAGTTCCGCTTTTCTCTCCTTCCCCTCCACCTGGGTCCACCCCGCTTCCCATCTCCAAAGATGATTCTAGTCTCTTCTGATCCCACCTCTGAGTCAGCCTCAAAGAGGAGGCAACTCAAAGGTCACACAGTTCCAAACAGCATCTATGTATAGTTTATTATTTTAAAGAACCACTTAACCTACATCTGGTATTTAAGAGCAAACTTTACATATTTGTGGGGAAAAACAGCTCTGAAGCAATGCCCTGGGTGCATGTGGCATCCGTTTAACATATGCAAAACGAACACAGCTACAGAAATTAAACTATTTTTCTCTTGATTGAGAGCAGATATACAGAAATGGTTATAAGTCACAGATCTGGCTTTTAATAAAGCCAGATTTCTTAATTAAAAGCAGTATTGTTTAAACATTGTAGTTTTTTAAAAAAAGAGCTGTACAAACTGAAATCTCATATTATATGCATCCCAAGTGTATTTAACACATTACCTGAGGCCAAGCTAAATTAAAATCTAGATTTTCCTTTTGTTAACTCTTAGCAACTGCCATGAATAGACAAACAATTTCTACTCAATGATGAATTTTTGGGGTAGAGGTCAAGGAAAAGCGAAAAAGAAAAAAATGATTTAGCTTTGGCATTCAAAAATATCTTTCCACGTCTTAGAAGTGAGTTCATTGCTTCTATTTATAAACCGGTATTTTTGGTTTCAAATTGGTTGCAGGTTTCCATAACATACTCTCAGGATGGTCCTCTCAGTCTTTTACTAAGAGAAGTCGAAAGGACGCAGAAGAACAGGACTGAGCAAGGAGCCTCGGAATGACCTGTACTTGTTTTGCATTCTCCTTTCGGAATCATCTTTAAACCAGGGACACTTTATGGGATAACAGGGAAGCAACTTTTTAAGAGCCTATAAGGTACAAAACAGGACAAAAAAGTGTTTACTTCTCAGGTAGGAGTTTGTAAGGAGTGGACTTACACAGAATCACTAGTAACATTAAATTTTCCGCCCATTCGGACCTCACTAATTGTCATCACTTAATATTTTGTTTGGAAGATTCTCTGGATCTTCATAATCGCCCCCAAAAAGGGATGCGCTCCCAAATCCTTACCAAAAGCAGTGGGCAGCACTGAAATCCCAACCGTAATGTGGACAAATGTGCTTGAGCCGCATTCAAACAGACTTATGAATAGGCAGTGGCAAAACGACTGTGCATTCTAATGACACAGTCCCACACCAGATATTTAGACAGACTAACACATCATACATTTCTACCTCCTATACTCAGAATTCAAAGGCACTGATTCGTTTCTTTAATAAAAAAATTCAACCTATTCATATCTGAAATGCCAGCAATGTAACATGAACATAAGATGGTTGGGTCCTTTAGCCAAAGCCACCACAGTGAAGAAATTAAAATATCAGTGATGACCCGGCAATGCTCTCCTGGATATGTACTTAAGTGAAATGAAGACGGACGTGCCCACACTAAAGCCTGTACATGAATGTTCATAGGAGCGTTATTCATAACAGCCAGAATGGAAATAATTCAAATATACATCACCCGATGAAGATAAATATAATGCACACAATGAAATATTGTTTGTCAACACAAGTGGATGGCACTCTGATGTATGATAAAGCATGCATAAACCTGGAAAACACTGTGCTAAGCTGAAGAAGCCTGTCAGAAAAGATACCACATGTTGTATGATTCCATTCATAGGAAAAACCTAGATTAAGCAAATCTACTGACAGAAAAAGTGTATCAGGATTGCCAAGGGCTGAAAGGGTTGAGGGGAGACTGGAGAGTGACTGACCACTGATGGCAATGGGGATTTCTTTTCATTTTTCTGTGTTTTAAAATTAGACTGTGGCAATGGTTACATAACCCTGTGACTATACTAAAACACAGTGAAATATAAACCTTAAATGGGTGAATTGCATATTAAGTGAATGTGTCTCAATAAAGCTATTTTTAAAAAGGGAAAAACAGCAGCAATAGTGTTTATAATCGAAAATCTAATTTTGTACGATAACTACAGTCTACAAAGTTCATCACTTACCATGAGTGAATGTCTGTTGGCTGAAAGAAGACCGGTTCCATACCCTGAGCCCAGACCACCCATTGCTCCATTATGAGAAGGTCCAATGATCCCATGCATGTCCCCGTGACTGCCAGGCATAGCGGTAGACGGGCCCACTGCATGATTTCGGAGAACATGAATGGCATCATCCAGTCTTTCTAAACGATCTTCAATCCGGCTTTGCTGTTGGTGAATAAAGGATGTGAAATTTGATTTAGTTTGAAATGCACGCATATGTTACATAAGTAAAACGAGTTCACACACACCACACTTTAAGTTTCTAAATGTTTCCAATAAAGTTAATTTCCTTAAAATAATAAGAATAGCATCCTTCCTAGACAACGGGTGACAAACGTTAATGTTATAATCAGTGTTATTTTTCATGAACAAAGTAAATTCATTTGAATGTACATATGCTGTACTATATTGCATTAGCTTGAAAGAGAATTTAGATTTACTTTAGAAAAGGAAAACACTTATTGAATTTAGGAAACATTCTGACAGACATTGGTGAAAAGATTTTTAAAAATTAGCCATGAAAAGGTGACCTATTTATAGTTCCCCAATTAAATTACCCTCCTGGAGGTATATTCCTTGATTTCCTCTGTGACATATGATACAGTGCTAACTATCAAGTCAGGGATGGGTAAATACATACTGACAGTAATTTCTTGAGTACTATCTATTTTCACCAGTGTGTGTGTGTGTGTGTGTGTGTGTGTGTGTGTGTGTACAGAAGAAAGTGGCGACTCAAAGTAATCACAGAAAAAATTACAAAAATTCTGTCAACCAACATGGTACGAGATTTCACTACTGAAGAATCACAAAGAACTGAATTAATGTTTACCAGAGCTTCTAAATGATTTCAAAGTCCTAACTATAGTATAGAATTCACTCTCTTATATGGGTATATTATTAAAAACCAACTGAACTTTTTTTCTCATCCCAGCCATTAGGATCCAACTTGTCTGCAACTAGATAAGGTCTGTACTGTGGTTTTTGGTGAAGAACATGGACATGTAGTTTATATATTCATTTTTTTCCAGTGTGATAAATTATGATATCAAATAAACATCAGCATAGGACTCTCCAGTGTATACTTTAACATCTAACATCCCACTGGGCCCTCATACTACATGAGTGAGGCAAACAGGGAAGACAGTATTACCCCTTCCACAAAGACATGCGGATGAGGCTCAAAGAAATTAAATGAATTAATTAACCAGTGTCACAGTACCAGGAAATGACAAAGCCAGGGTCCAAATCTAAGTCTTTTGACTTTAAATCTAATGTTCTTTTGTACTACAACGTGCTTCAATCGCTCTGATTTTCAGTGGGTTGTGCAAACAGATGTACCCACTTTACTGTATGAGAAGAACAATTTCTAATTATTCTACACTGACAGCAAGAATGTGGGTCTAATACATGTAGTTTATGGTGCAGAGCATTCTGGTTTGGTGGCCCTGGTGTTACAGGGCCTCCTCTAAACTAGTGGCTACTAGTATGACCTTGGAAAAGTTGTTAACTTCTTTGAGTCTACGCTTAATTTTAAAAATAGGAATGCATGCATATGTACACTTCCAAGTGTAAATGTAAGCATGAAAAGGAAGAATACATGTGCCTACCATCCTTTCTGGCTCACAGCTTCCTGGAGGAGAGAGCAGTTTCTCGTGCGAATCCCCTCTTGAGTGTTGAGAATTTAAAGGAACTAAAGCTGTAGTTCACAACTTTAAACCCAGTCTTTACAGTTTTATAGTTGGACAAAGCCCAGTTTTGATAGATGGGTCCCAGAGAATAACTGATGGAGGTAAACACTGGAGGCAGATTAGTGGGGCTGGGTAGGTAGTGTATATGCCGCCTCACTCTGTGGTTGCCTTTACCGGCTAAAATGCAGAGCTGGGTGACTCACACACCTCAGCAGGGAGAGAACAAGGGGGAAATATACTGTTGTACTTTTAGTTTTAGATTTTCCTTAATTTAAATAGTAAGCCAGAAGGGAAGGAAACCCTGAACCTGACAAGACAACATTAAATTAGAGACATGTATGCCTTCTTCCATGTTCCACCTCAAAGAAGGGAAACAACGTGGAAAGAGCGAAGAGCTCCTTGCTGCTACCCCTCCCCATTTGGTTCATGCACAGCCCGGATACTGCACGGAGTGGTGGTGTTTCACGCATATTTCCAGTCCCATCGCTGAGACTTGAGAAAGCCCAGAGAGGCAGACACTGAATCATGACCTACTTAGAATATTAATTAACTCCATGCAAATTCCCAGCCTTTCCCTCCTGGAAGAGCAGAGATGTACTGATGTCACTAGGTGTCTATGAGAACCAAAGTGAACAAGGAAGTAGTAGTAGGCTTCTGGTCCCAAGGTCAAGAGGAAAATGCCTATAAACGTGTTATTCTGGGAAGCAGAGGAGAGGATACAGGATCTTTAAGTGCTGCAGTACACAGCTTTAGCAGGGACTTCAGCAGCACATCTCAGGGAAGTAATTTAATCACAGGCCGGGATCTTTCCCCAGATGGGAAGGGGCCACTATCCTTCCAGGATTTTTAATCTTCTATCTGGTCCTAGATCTTTAGAGCCCTGGGCTTACACTGCAGCAGTATCTGGGTTACAATCTACAAACAGGAACAAACACAGTCTAATCTTGGAGTGAACTAGAGGCAACAAGAGAAACATGCTCTGGAAGTGGCTGGAGCAGAGATGAGCAGATGACTTACCAAGGAGTGCAAGGGTCCTTCATAGTTAGGAGATGATGAGGCCTGCCCTCCATTTCTAGACCAAACAGCTGTGCCTGCTGATATGAACAAAGGAATTACAATGCGATCGACATCATCTTAAAAACAATCTCACCAACACGTTCAACAGTTCTCTTAGAAACAGCAATGTTGGTTTCCACGTGGACCCTAAGGTGAACCTCCCATCCAAAAATTCTAGGGCAAGGAAAACATCTTAAATGTAAAACATGGAGACTTTACATAGACTCAGAATTCTCTCAAGCTTCCTAAAAGGAGGAATTTTAGCTAGAGAAGTGTTCCTTTGAAGAAAACTATTACTACATAGTCAAGGTCCTTTTAAGAGTGCAAAGTGGGAAGGGTACCGGGGCGGGCCTTTGTTATGCCTCCATGCAAGGCCAGTTTGTTAAACCAAAATTCTCTCACCAATGAAAAACAGCTTTGCGACTTGGTTTTAAAATGATCCTTGAGAAGGAATAAGCCTTCAGAAACTTTTTAAGGAAATAAGATTAGTTGGCAGGGATCCACAGAACCAGAAATTTAAAAACTCAACATAACAACAGTAATAAGTAAGTAGTTTCTTCTGAAGAAAATAATTTTTTTATGATTCGCTAAACCTGCAGGTAAAGATAGATGCCTGCTATAATAAATATTACATGTCTAACGTCCTACTTTTAAATTTAAAATAATATGCACTCAGAATAGAAGATAAATAATTCAAGTAAGGAAAATAAAATCTACGATTTCACTGAATCTCACGCCCGACACAGTTAGCCCTTTAAATATTCATTCTCCTGTCACTTCTGGGTGTGCATGTGTGTGTGTTCTGATGCTAAATGAAAATAGAATATTTTGTCCAGTTACTTTCAGGGACAGAATCTGGACAGAGCTATCAGTGTGAAAACAGCGACCTGTCCCCAGGTCTACATCCTCATGAAGCCCTTCCCTGCTGCCAGGTGCTCTTCCAGGCTGGGTTACCAGGGCCTCGCAATGGCCCTACTTCTGGTCTTTCTCTGAGAGCACCCTGCTCACGTTTAGAGTATTTAGGGTGTTATCGGGCATGATTTGTGCACCACAACTTTTGGCCCCCCATTAACCTAGGAGTGGAGAGGCAGAAATGCATGCACCCGGATCTTTGCTCTCTGGGAATGCTACAGACTTAACCTTAAGCATTAGACTAAAATAGTGGTTCTCAAGCTTTATTAGACTGTAGAATCCCCCCCCCAATTATAAAATAGACAGAATTAGAGCTGTTTTGCTTGAAACGGGGCACATGGGGTTTTGTCCCTGCCCAGACCTCTCCTCGTGGGTCTCATGGGACGCCGCCCTGTATAACGAGGCTGGCGGTCACTCCAGAGCTGAACATGGTATGCACGCACAATGCTGAGCTTCCCTTGCCTTTTCTATCATGGGGAAGGCTTCACTGCTGTTGCAGTGTCCCCTTGATATCATCTTTGTTTCTTGCCAGTTTCAACTGTCTCTCTGGGCATTTGGACTTAAATGTCCAGCTACCCCTCTCTATTCTGTGCTCCCCGCCCCCCATGTCAATGGAGGCTTGGGAAGGCTGATATCAAGCCCCACCTAAGCCAAGGCCATCGCCTCCGGAAGCTTGGTGGTGATCTGAACCAGGGAGCCAGCTTGTGGTGGGCCCTGTGAATGCTGATATAGGGACGGAGGAGGCAACATTTCGGCAAGTGACTCGCTATAAATTACAGGAAGGTCAGGTTTCAATGAGGTACAGATGTGACCTAGTTTTGTGTTAGAAGCCACCTGCCCTCTTTCCAGAGTGCGGAGACAGGCAGCAGACAGGGCCTTCTGGAAGCATTTATACTGGAAGGGCAATGAGCCTTTTAAATGGACCTCTGCTTTACTAACATAATGTAAGAACTTATATTTTACTACTTGAAGCCATAGTTCATGTAATTTGTTATTTTTAAAGGCAAACATCCCCTTTTACTCCACACACTTCACAATTTATTTACAAGATTAGAGTTTCCTCAAACATCCCAATTACATGGACTTCAAAGAGGGAATTTGGAAAGTCTAAAATTTCTGTCAGAAAAGATCCTCTTGAATAATCTATATTTGATGACTGTACAATCATAGTCAAGGCTATATGTACTACCTGGTCTCATTTGAGATGTTTTATTAGAACATGTTATTCTGTGGAGTATCTTCTAGAGAGCTAGGAAAAATTTCAGAAATAAGTTTCCCATATGTCTGTATATTTTTTAAAAACATCTAATTTTTAAGACAAGTTTGGGTGTAAGTGACTGTGCCTTCACATGGCGGTCTGTCTCTCCCACTCCTTTCTGTCTGTTTGGAAATGGTGTTGTGAGCCCGTGGAGGGAGGGAGCTTCCCCCGAGTGCAGGGAGTCCAGGGGGGCAGTCACTCTCACCAGCTGGCACTGTGAGGCATGGGAGCAAGGACAGTACCTGAGAGAGAAGGCGGAGAGCCGACAGGAGTTGAAGGGTTTGATGAAAAGCTGTTGTTAGTGTGATCTGGAGAATAGATCTTAAAACAATGGGGAGAAAAGAAAACAAATCCTCATTATTAGGAACAAACAATCAACAATTTTGTCAACTGCAAAGTATCCATGCAATTCATTTAAAAGTTACAACTTACAAAATACATTTAGTGATCAGCTGCAGTAACAACACGTACCCACTTTAATCTTTCAAAATCAGAATTACTGAGGTCTTATAAGATCGTCGGAAAAGACCTGGACTGGAGGTCAGCAAACTACTTTTCTAGTCCTTTTCCTCCCACTTCTCGCGTGGCTGCTTGGCTATGAGCAAGCCACAGAGATACACAGAGCCCACCCCCACTCCACAAAACAGGCCAGACCAAGTCACCCTAAGATTGTTGTCCAACTCCCTCTTCACCATGATTAAAGCATTTGATTCCAAGATATGAGAATGCCTAGATTAAATAAAGACTTCTATTTGGTAAAAATGTTGAGAAATCAAACATTTTATGCTCCTGATGGTACGGAAAAACCAACTGAAGAGATAAAATGTTAAAGCAACAAATCTCCACTTACATTTGCAGATGCCCATGCTTAGCTTTTGAGGACCCCACCAGGTGTGCCATTGTCGCTAGTGAATGTGCAGGGCACCTCCCAGTGCAGCCTCTTGGCCGTGGGCAGGGAAGGCAGAGAAGCTGAGTCCCCAGGTGCCAAATGTGTGACAGCTCCCCCAGACCTTACTGAGGGTCTTTTTAAATGCCTTTTCTAAAGTATTTTAGAATTGCCCCTCACAAAGTCAGTCTTAGATGGTCAATGAGGGGCCATATGCCTTTAGAGAAAAATAAGAAATCCAGATAGAAAATCTATACACCTAAGGGCTCCAAGAATATCCGAGAACCTGTAACTGAGTACCTCTTAGCAGCCCTAAGGAGACAAGATGGAAGAGACCAGCCAGGCATGGAAGCTTCAGGGCTCTCTCTTCAGATTTTCCAGTGATCATTATGCAAGGAAAAAAAGCGAGCATTTCCAAAATCAAAGCTCTTTGCCATTCATTGTATACAATTCCACATGTCCACGTCTGATTAAAGTTCAGGCCTCCACAATGCTACGTATGAAGGCCAAAGTCAATATTGCCTCACCGAAGCAAGTGCTTTCCCCAGAGCATCTCCAGTCTGGGAGCTGCCTGCTGCTCCGCTTCCTCTATTTGCTGCAAAAACAAAAGGCAGAATATGAAAAACCAGGCCGTGAGATGTCTAACAATTTTCTATTCCTGGTCCATTTACTTACAATTTAATTGCATTTTTAATGCTAATTATGACACATTAATTTTTAATTAGCATTAATTTGTTTGCTGAGGTAGATGTCAAGTATATTCATGTTACATTTTCTACAGATAAAATATAAACCTGACACCTTGGTTTAAAGATATAGTCTTTTAGTTGCTATTACCTTCAGGCTTGTTACCTAGGAGTGTGTAGTGGTGAATGCTAGTTCATTGCTAAGAAATTGACAGTACTTTCAGGTGTCTAAAGTCCTCAAAGTTTGGCTTTTCTTTACATTTTAGATAGTCAACTGAATTCTCCTCATGCATAATTTATACCTCCTTTGAAATAAAAAGAGGTACTCCTCTCAGAGCTCCACAGTAAACAAAATCAAACAAAAAAATCTATAACAGGTCTAGGAGAGAAAATATTTTTAATATTTGAAATAACATGTATCCCACACACATTTTAAGTGAAATTTTAAAAAAAATTGAACTGCTGTGCTACTAAAAGTCAGCATGGTCTCAGATTCTGGAGAGAAAATCAGTCTACATAATCATGAAGCTATCGCTCCATCTTAAACACTGGTATTTTTATCTACAAAATAGATGAACAAAGAGCACTATTAATAAAAAGACAGAGGTGCTAGTGTATAATCCAAAGCCAGCTCTATTCAGCAAGTGTCTTTGAAGGTAATTTGCCTTTACACAATGGGACAGCCAGTGTTCCGCGGAGGTCTCAGCCGCAGCACAACGCCTACGTACGCTATGCTGCAGTCATCAGGGCCTCGGCATTAGCAAATTGATGTAGTATTTAAATAAAGCCTACTCAACGCCAGCGGAAGATATTTTTCAATACTGGTGAAATAAGAAAACTGATTAATCCAAGCAAAACTTCATTACACAAATAATTTTTTAAAAATTCACAGCCCTATCCTTGACCCAAGAAAGCAGCTTTCAGGCAATGTGTCTCCACGCCCAGTGTGTGAAGTGGAGTAGATTTCAGACCCCAGGGGTCAGCTTCTCCCCATTCTCCAGGTTACAATTTCACTCTCTTGGCCTCTGCTTAGCACAGTTGAATTATGCTGGCTATTTTCACAAATTCACATGTTGGGTATGTCAGTTAGTGGTCTTTTGATGTGTGTTTTATTTGATTAACAAAACCCACCCCCATATTCATGTGTTATTACTAAACCTGAAAGAACACTGATAGATGGTAAAACGAACAGTCACCTTTGGACAAGACATTTGTTTTCATTCCACAGACTCATATGAAAACTGAATCATTAAAAAGTAGCTGACATTGTCTTAGAAGAAGTGAGGCTGTAATCTGTAATTTCCAAATGTAATCAAAAGGCTCATCTCTGTATCGGCTATTAGTACTAAGGATTTTAAGTGGAAGCAATCTTTGAAATGGGGGTCTGACATCATGCTGAGCTAGTGGAAGGAACTCATAGATATCAAGAGTATTAAAAATACTTAGTATAAGAGATAAGTAAAATTTTATCTGGCATGAAAATTAAAATTGTTGTATTAAGGAGTTTTTTTTTTTAAATAAAGACAATTCTAAATAGAAAATAATATTTTGAAAACATAGAGAGAACTAATATTTTCCAGCTGGTATTACCATAGTATTTGTGCATAGTATACTTGTGTGTGTGTGTTTGTGTGTGTGTGTGTGTATGTATGTATGTATGTGTGTATATATATATGACATATATTTCTAGAAATTCATATATATATAATTTTCATAGAAGTAACATTATCATATACTAGTATACCTAAAATTAGATTTAGCAGTCAAAATAATTTGTGATGTCTGCTTAATTACAAAACAAATCTTCATGATATGTAAGTGCAAAGCCACAATGGAAAAATTACATTATCTAAAAAAGAACTGAAACCCAAGTAGTACAAGATATTGTTTCAATTACAGAAAACATTTGCTACCATTGTGGCTTTCAAAAGATTAATTCTTCCTTTGAACAACTTTAAAATTAAGATAATAAGTGTTTAAAAATACTTTTTCATGAAACCAAACAGAATTGAAAATCAACAGAAATATTTTAGGAACATTAAAAAAGCTAATTATATGTAACACACACGCAAAAAATCACACTTTACAAGAAACAAGATATAATTATTATGATCACGTCCATACTAAACTTTGTATTAAGTGCCTGTTATACAGAGGAAGATGTTAGGACCTAGGAGGTAGATTAAAAAGTAGAATCAACTCCTTACCTCAGGTTGTCATAAAAATGATTCCGAAAACTAACAGGCTACTCATGGAGGCCACTGATAAGAATAGACTATTTTTAATATGCAGCCATTCCACCTGGCAGCGGCAGCTGGAGTGAGGAATCCAGGGCTTAAATTTCAAAGCAGTTTCCCGGGCCAGTTTGCCCCTTCGCTTGGAATGCCTTTTGTTCTGTTCCAGGAAACGTTGGAGAAGACACATTTTCAAGAGTCCCTGAGCATGTTAGGCGACAGGGGCCTTCTGCTAGAGCTCTCTTTTTATTTGTGTGACTGATATGCCAAAGGGCACAAATAATCAGACAGTGAACATATGATTAACTCTCAAACTTATAATTTCTTTTATATTAAGTAATGGGTCATGTTTAGCCAAATGCGCTTCTAATTAACTTGGTGCTTATCAAACCCACCTTTTGGCTTTCATGTAACAGGACTTGATTACGATTCTAGGCCCAAGTTTTTGTCAGCCCATATTATAAGCAATTACCCAAGTGCCCATATAACAAATAAAGATGAAAACTACTGCCCCTATTTGGTAAAGACTGGGTTGATTTCTTAAGATATTTTAGCTCTAATCAATTTTTCTTGCTCCAGAGAAAAAAGAATCTGTCGTTAAGCAGGGTTGCAAAGTAAACATGAGTGGAAGATGAGCAGTGATTAAGAGGAAGTGTAATTCTGTAGGAGGATTCGGCACTGCCAGCCACCCGAGCACCGTTCAGGGGGCGTGTGCACAGGTGCTTGTTGCTGGCTAGCTTGGAGCAGAGAGAGGGTTCCGCTACATGTTGGACCACCCTGGGACTCACTCGCAGCTTTGGGGAAATGGCAATTCCCATTAGAACACACCCTCATCAGAACACCAGGAGGAGCGGTGCCTGGGGATCGACTACTGAAAATTAGAATTGCGAAAATATGTTACCCCTTTAATACACACCCATAACCTCAGGCTGGGAACATCACAAAGATATAAAAGGAACAATAAGTGTAATTTATAGTGTATTTGCCTGAAAGAAGATGACTGCTTTGAAATTTAGTTATTTCTGAACTATGTGCAAGTGGGCCTCGTATTATTAAACTATTAAAAGCATCCTAACAATGTCATGAACTTGACTATAAAGATGACACAAGAAGGAGCGTCTCCAGCACTCCTACAGAATCTAATTTTATAATTAAACCTCAAATTAGGGCTAGAATGCACTCATTTTTAGCACGAGGGATCTCTAGAAATTCAGGGGGAAAGTTGGGCCCCAGGACCACGTGCAGGAAATGGACAAGACTTAAATCAAACTAGTTTACTGTTTTCCATTAGTGATTTTTGTAACTATGGTGCCACCACAATGCTGGGTGAAATTCATAAACCCTTATGCTCTGTGCAGGTCTATCACCCAACTCTATTTGAAGGCTCAAGATTCTTGTAAAAGACAAAGTGATCTATGTGACTAATATAAAATAACTGTGAAACCAAGTCCCCAAGGGGAAATTGACATGTTTCTGCTAGAAAAGCCACATACTCAAGTGCTTCATGTCATACAAACATGTCATTGGAAGTGAAAGTGGTAAGCCAGATTAATTCATGAACCAGATAGATATTCCAGGGTGATCTTTAGCATATGCTGTATTAAATCCATCTTGGTAGTCTGTTCCTTCAACGCTGTTTGGTTTGAGGTTAAAAACATGGGAAATGCCTTGTATGAGAAAGCAGGCCAGTTAAAGACCAATAAAACAATAATAGTTATTCTAAGCATTATACTGGTTGTATGCCCAATTCCCTCTGAGGGCAAGGGAGGGTGTATAGCCCAAACAACAAGTCACATTGTAGGAGTGGATACAAATGGTACCTCCCAGGGGTCCTCATTGAGAAGTGTCAGAAGTATGTGTGATATAGTCACCTCAATGCTTTTGACCAGGGAGGGGTATTGGATACTGCAGGTAGGAAGGAAATATGTATATAACAAAATGTATACAGCTACCATTCTCTAGACATTTCTATCCTCTACAGCTGGTACCTAGTGACTTACTACACTTCCTTCTCTGAGATACACCCAGCAGGATAATACTGAGAGGGTTTCAGAATAAAGTTTGAAGGGCTTTGATACTGGTAACTCCTGAAGCCCTCAGCCTTAGCTCCTCTCCTTAACTGGGGGCTCCATTAGTTAAACGTCTGTGGACCCATGCTGTGTCCCGTGCATTATACTCATACACTTCTAGATCCCTCTAACTCAGAAATGTCCGGTATAATCTCCAGAGTTTGCTGGCAAAGCTTCAGAGGAAAATGTGAATTCTGTGTAACAAATGAAATACTTTAGAATTCTTTCAAAAATCCATGGATGAATGTGTCACAAAAAAATTTCACCATTAATATAATCTCAGTAAGATTTATCCCCCCTAAGGGTTTCTCAGAAAAATGATACTGGGAATTAAAGGGGGGAAAAAACAAACAAAAATCCCAAGAAACAATGGTCATTCCTCCAAACCAAACACAAGCCATCTGAGATCCCAGTGAGCATCTTTTCCATCTCTGAAATGCAGAGAACAGAACTAGAGGCAAGGGAGCCTGGCTCCAGAGAGGATGCCTTCCAACAGCTCTAGAGCTTTCATCGCCCGCCGCATGCATTCTGTCGTCCTACGATCAGTTCAGGACAATTGCTGACCGCCAGGAAGACGCATTATAACATGAAACTGAGAAATGGGCCAATAATCTTTTGAACGGAAAAAACAGCTTCCTGAGACATCAATGTTGTTTATGAAAAGATTGCACCGCCTTGCAACTTTACACCAAGAAAACTTGAAAAATCTGATGTCCATGTGTTAGCGCTTGAACCCCATTCTTACGGCATTAGTATTGCTTACAGCCATTTTCTACAGAATCATGTGTGTAATCTTAAACATGTGTCAAGCTATGTGTTCCCTATTTACCAATTATTTAATTAGCTCTGTTTGTTCTTTGCGATACAGGCAATGTAATATTTCTTTATTTCCTGCATTTCAGAATGAGTGAGTATATGCCAAGTATTTTCAAAAGTCTACAGATGTATCCTATTAGCCCATACTGTTTGTTAGGGAAGCATTAGTAACTGAAGAGAAATCTCTTGTTATACAGACATGCTGCTGTCCCTGACTTCTACCACACTCTGAAAATCAAGCCAAAACCTAAGAGAATTAAAGTGCGAAGAAACTTGAGTCACGCAGACACTATGCAACCATGAAACCTATTATCATACCCAAATTTTCCTCTGCATTTTAACTGGAGGAATTGGAAGACATGTTTTCAGGGAGAACATGAGTCTTCTCTCTTACAGTAATCCTAAATTCATAACTGAATTTATGCAAGTTCTTCCAAAATGCTGAAGTACCATGTCTACTTATTTCCTGAAAAGATTATAAAGCTTTTTCACATTCTACTAGCAGATTTTGACAAGTACACCCATGGTTATGGATTAATTTATGTAATAATGTTTTGCCTAAAAAAGTTCTTTTTCCAGGTTCCAAAAATCTCATACTTTTCCCTTTTAAAATTATAGCTTCCTAATTATTACCTAGACCCTCCTTCCACTTAAACAAGTTAAGTCCATCTTTCGCCTAGAGCTCCACCCTGCCCAGGCCAAATGAAGGAGAGGAGACATTCCTATCCATCTATGAGCTAATGATGAGCCAACCAGCTTAACTAAAGCAAATCCCATTCCCACCCAGATGCATGGCTTTGCTAACCACAGCCCAGGGACGAAGATTACGCTTTCGCAATATCTTCCTTCCCAAGTCTAGTGCCTCTCTCCCAGGAAGACTGTTTTGCAAATTAATTAACATAACTTTTTTTTTTTCAAACAGTGCTTAAGTATGTTCTCCTCAGCTCAAGCGTTTGCTCCACCTTTATACCTTCCTAAAAAAGAAAATTACTCAAATCACAAGTAGACAGGAAATCTGCCATGTAAGAGGATGAGTGACCGGTCAGCCTGCTTTATAACTAGACCTCATGACTGCAGAAAGGGGCTTTCCATGCGCCAAACCACACTGAAGTGAAATATGCTTCTCTCACTCTTTCAGTTCTGCACTTCTTTCTTCTTGTTTTTCAAATCTGCCAAAACTGCATTGATAGCTACAAAATGTCCCCATATGACCGTAGTCCAGAGCCCCCCGAGGTCAAACTCATGCAACACACTTGTAGAAACTTTGTTATGAAAAGTTACAAAAATGGAAATTCCAAAATTTGCTTCTCAATGAGACATGATAGTGAAGGGCTGCTAGATGGCTCATCTCAAGTGTGAAATATATTATTGAATAAACAGAGAGTGTATTATTTAGGCAGGATTATATTTGCAACACTTCAAAAGACATCTCTTTTTCATAAAAAACTCCCACAGAAGTGATTCATACTAGTTCCCAAAGTTCTACAGACTAAGGAAAATGAAAAAACTACAAATAGCTAAGAGGACTAGCAGCAGGATCATTGTCACACATTCTCCTCTCTAAAACACACAGTGAGAGTCCTCATCAGGGACCCCCTGGAAGTCACCCTGAGCCCCAGCCAGGTACGGGTGTGAGCTAGAACCTGTGCGGTGGCAATCAGTGAAGCCCCTGGTTTAACAGGACCCGGGAGCATCAGACTGTAGTGCTGGGTGACAAAGGCAGACAAAGGCCAATTCGGAAGCGGGTGCTCCCTCCTCCCCAACCGGAACTCTTTCTTTCCTGGGCAGCTAGACATCCTGCCAGCTCTTCCCTCCCTCAAGGTGAGAGTGTGATGGGGAGCCATCTGTCCGTGGGAGAAGACCACAGTGGACAGCATGGAAAATGAGAGGAGGAGGATGGCTCCGTTAATCTGCCAGCAACTTTCTGCCTGAACTTATTTTTCTCTCAACTTGAAAAAAAGTAGCAGATAACTTCTGTCCCACTGATGCCCAGCCGTCTCCTCTCCTGTGAGTGAGTGACACTTCTTCCCTCTGAAGGACTTCACCATGCAGCACTCTTCTGAAGGTGAAGCTCATCTAGTTATTACTAGTTGCCTGTCAGTTTCACATGAACCCATCTGCAGAAGACTGTGGCGTGTCATGGCCAAGAGCACAACACAGTGACTGAATCTGGGAAGCGGTCAACAACTACTATTAAGAGATATCGTGGTCTTTATCTCATTAGTCTTCAATGGTTTGTCTTATAAAAGTTCACCTTGCTTGCTGTTTGGGAGTATGAGAAGCAAGGCGGTTTGGTATATTTAAACCCCGTTCAAACTAATTACAATAGGCAAAGTAGCCAAATTTCAGTTTCTTGTGGAAAAAAATGTGATATGGTCAAGCCAATGACTATTTCTGTTTGGTTCATTTGTTTGTTCAGTTATGTGATAAACATTCATCCTTTGATTGCTGTTCAATTATGGGGGGGGGGGGGGGGGGGAGAGGAAGGTAGAGATCTTTCATTATAATCCTGACACTGAATGTTGGTACCAGAACTGGCATTTCCAAAACTCACCCATTATACTGTCTGTCCCGTTGGCAGGAGGCGTACAGGAAGAGGTGCTGTAATGGTTGGTACCACTACGGTGGAAAGTGGACATTGGAGGAAGACTGGAATTGATGTCTGCTGAGGAGTGTGATGGGTAGCTCTGTAGCAAGAAGCAGAAAAAGGAGGCAATTTTCAACCATAAAATATTTAATGGGTTAGTTTTATAATACTTCCTTCTGCAATGGAGAAAACCCTTAAAATTTCAAAATATTGAAGAATACATCTTGCTTAGTTCTGACAACTTTCATTTTTCAAATATTAAAACACAAAGACACAGTTTGGATTTGCATCAAATCTAGGGGAATACGATGGCAATGTAGGACACTAAAAAGGATTACAATCTCTAAATCTAAAAATTACTTCTTAAAAGCCTACCTGTGGCCCGGCTGGTGTGGCTCAATGGTTGAGCCTCGGTCCATGAACCAAGATGTCATAGTTCAATTCCTAGATTGTGGGCTCAATCCCCAGTAGGGGGCATGCAAGAGGAAGCCAATCGACGATTCTCTCATCATTGATGTTTCTAGCTCTCTGTCCCTCTCCTCTCCTCTCTCAGAAACCAATAAAAACATTTTTTTTTTTTAAAAAAAGCAGCTCTGTGACTTTTACAGCATAAAAAAAGCACTGCTATTATTATTTCTTTGTGCAGCCTATTGATCAGGTAAGAAAGACTCTATGATACACTGAGTAAAACAACACGGTGACCTCCAGGCTTTGCGTTACACTTCATCCTGACCTTCTGAACACTAAATGGCAAAGAGTAAACCATCTCAGGTCTTTTCCTGCCAAATTTGGTCACCTTTCTGAACTCCAGCCAGAACAAATGGTAAAAAAAAAAAATTAAAAAGTGCTAATGAAGTGCTATCTCTCTGAAGCATCAATATGAAAAGCCTTAACTCAATGACTGTACTGAATTAAATGAGAACAAGTGAACTGAGAATAACTATTTGACTTCTTACTGCATATGTCCTCTCCATTAGTGATCTTCATCTTGTTGACTGTGAAAGATCACCTTTACAGAATCATTTGCGTTAAGGCTTGGCTTTGAGTTACATTATTGCACCAGTTGTCCAAATCAGCTGCTTTTCTTGGGGCATGTTACAGTACCTGGAAGGTTGGCAAATTAGGTTCCACCCAGCTATCTGCCTGGGAGTGAGCAGGTCATTAGCGGGGGTCACAGTAATATTTACAGGAAAATATCGAGCTATGTTCCTGCTCAAGATGATAAATAGCTTAAAAAGGTGTTCTCATAGGCATCTGATGAGTTATAAACATGGAAAGGAAAATATTTAAGCTAAAATATAATTTTTCCTTATATGTGATATATTAATGGGCTATGGATCTTTATTATGTGATTATTGGAGAGTCTGTTAATTTTTTATATAAAATTGAGATTGGAGATGATGCTCAAAGTCAGAGGTGCTTCAAGCCCAGGCCATTTATTCACAAGGAGTGAAACCCTGGTGTCTTGGTATTTTCTTTTATTTTGAGAGGCCCATCTTGGTTCTACCTCCGCCTCGATGATTCCTCACTGCTTCCCACTCTTCCAAGACTTCTCCTCTCTGAATCCCTAATGAACTGACATCATCTTCACTGGGCCATTTAATAATGGTATGCTGCCTTTCATTGTGATCTCTCTCACACGCATTTCCATCTATACTGTACTGTAAACTCTTTAAAGGGAGAGAATACAGTTTATACCTTTGCATCCCACAACTTGCTACTGAGTGCAGAACACATAATTACCCTATTTAGGCAATGAACAACTGGCTACTGTTAATAAATAGTGGATTGAAATGCTAGTATTTGAGAGGTAACTAAAAAGTCTGAAAAATGAAACTTTGTTTCAGAGCCAAGTCTGCCACATCCATGCTTTTGGATATATTACTTCTACACACTCAAATAGTCCAAAGAAAGGTCAACTTCAGTGTAAAAGTTGACATACTGCCCTTAAACTTTTCCAAGTCCCCAAGAATGTCTTTCAAACTTTTAAGTTTTATGAACCTCTTTGCATGACTAAAAAATTCCTTATGCTACCTGTTAAACTCATTTCTACTTGCTACTCACAGAATACCCCAAGTAGTCCCTTGAAATTTCTTCCGGAGAATAGTAGAGTGGGGCCATTCCATAGCAGAACTAATCTGAAACTCTGAATAAGCCACAAACACCAAACTTAGAAGAACTATTTCTGCTGAGGAGCTAAAGACTATCATGAAGTGGAGAAAGAGAGAAAGAATGAGGAAAAAGAAAATGAAAAGAAAAAGAGTAGGTTTCAGTTCTGCTCCATGCTGAGTTTCTAAAGAACACAGAAACTTTATAAATCAGTCCCAACTATGCAGAAATCAAAACAGAGACAAATATTATAAAAACTATTGAAATAACTATTAATAATTATAGGATGACACAGGAAAAAAGATTATTGCATCGGTGAGAATTTTTAGACCCCTTAAACCTGGGCAGTAATTCAGGATTTGACAAAGGGTTCATATTGACTTCGGAGACAAAAAAAAAAGTTCTTTTCCACAGATTTTAATGGGGAAACCCATACAATGCACCCAAATCAGTTATTTTTAGAGACTCATAGAATATGAGATGCTGAAAGCAATTAATGAGATTTATAACTCGATTATTTTTCAAGAAAAAGTTTCATGCAAACTACTGTTACTCAAAGTCGTAATAAATACACCACAGAGAATATCAGTGATAAGTGAATCACGTCTCTTGTAGAGTAGTCAGAGATCAACCAGAAGAGGTCCCCTTCCAGTGGTTCTCAACCTTCCTAATGCCGCGACCCTTTAATACAGTTCCTCGTGTTGTGGTGACCCCCAACCATAACATTATTTTTGTTGCTACTTCATAACTGTAATTTTGCTACTGTTATGAATCATAATGTAAATATCTGATATGCAGGATGTATTTTCATTGTTTGCGACCCACAGGTTGAGAACCTCTGCCTGAGTCTCTTTTAGTCCAGCTATTAATACTATCTGCCCTGCTTACTACAAAGCAAAAGGGGAAGTATGATAAAGTGCTATGGCCTTACATGCCCACTATTTATTTTTACCTTTAAAGGCCTAAGAGAGTGTATTCAGAATCTATTGATAGAGTAAGTGGTGATAATGTTTCCATTAGTGATGTTTTTATGGGTTGATAATTCAAAGATTGATCTCACTTATATGTGGAATCTGTATGATGGACAAAACAGACCCAGAGGCACATGGAACAGACTGACAAGGTTAGCCAAAGAACACATATGAAGAGATTAGTCGAAGAACATATATGCATAGCCCAAGGACACAGACAACAGTGTGGTGATGGTCAGAGGAAGGGGGAAGGAAGGTGAGTAAAAGCAGGGCCAGTTGTGGGGGACATCTGTAATAGTGAAAACAATAAAAAAGTTAAGGAACTATAATAATTGGTAGCACATACCAAGAAGACAATTGGGTTTTAGGGTAAGGCAGGGTTTCACAACCTTGGCACTACGGATTGTGCCAGGTAATTCTTTACTGTGGGAGGCTCCCCTGTGCATTGTAGAATTTTTACCAGTGTCCTTGGTCTCTATACACTAGATTCCAGTTGCAACTACATCCCTACCCCCACCCCCCCCCCCACACACACACACACACACACACACACACACACACACACACATCTCCCAAAGCTCTC